CCCCCCCCCCCCCCCACTTCCTCTTTTCCCCTTCTGAAAGCAAGTTAAAAGGTGTTTCGCGATTAACATGTTGGTGACACACGGTCCCTCAGAGTTACAAAGTTCTATCTGACATTTTTGACCGTTTTGAGTTACTAAGACCATGGGTCAGAAACAAAAAGTTCTATCTGCTCTATCGAAATAGTTAGATCATTCGGAGTCGTTATCAAGATATCCAAAGACTTAAATCCGGAAAAACTTGACGTGTTTTGAAACTCAAAATTTCTCAAACTAGGCACTGAGCAGATAGTACCTTGTAATTCTGGGGTAGAGCAATGTAGCCCAGCTGACAGCGGAGGCCCCGGTTGAGCGTGTACGGGCTAGGTCAACAAGGTTTCGAACGTTTCAGCACATTTAAGCAAAAACAAAAAAAATTCTAAACCCAGAAATTAAGCATATCATGTTGTCTAGGAGATGAAAAATATACAACCTGAAGCTACAGCAACTTCGCAACTCCAGAATTATAAGTTCTATCTGCTTTGTGTCTAGTTTTAAGAATTTTGACGTCAAAGATTTTGAGTTTCACATCATGTGAAACTTTTAAAAATCAATTCTTTGAATGTCTTCATAACGACTCCAAATAATATTACCATTTTGTTAGACCAGATAGAACATTTAATTTCTGATCTCATGGTCTTAGTTACTCAAAACGGCCAAAAATGTCAGATAGAACTTTGTAATGCATGTTGCGACTACTTTCAGCGTCAAGAGCTCGGTTGCTGGGTTTTTTTTCTCAAAAGGCAGAAAGTGAGCCGAATTTTGCCTGATGACGTTTAGAACAGATAAATAAATGTAAGCCCCCAAAAATGAACAATTTTCCTAATATGGTTTATCCTCTTGTGTGTCTATGTGTGTGTGTGTGTGTGTGTGTGTGTGTGTGTGTGTGTGTGTGTGTGTGTGTATGTGTGTGTGTGTGTGTGTGTGTGTGTGTGTGTGAGAGAGAGAGAGAGAGAAAGAAAGAAAGAGATAGAGAGAGAGAAAGAAAGAGAGAGAGAGAGAGAGAGTTTGAGTCTGTATTTGTGTATGTGTGTGTGTGTGTTTGTGTGTGTGTGTGTGTATTTGAGAGAGAGAGAAGAGAAAATAAGGAAAGAAAGACATAGATAGATAGATAGATAGATAGATAGATAGGTAGATAGATAGATAGATAGATAGATAGATAGATAGATAGATAGATAGATAGATAGATAGATAGATAGATAGATAGATAGATAAGAAAAAAAGAGAGACGGGAAGGGAAGCTGCAAAAAAGGGACAGACACATAGGTATGCAGGGTAGGCGACAACAGGCAGACAGACAGGGTGAAACGACCCGAAACAACCAGTCCTGACAAATAGAAGCAAGAAATCAATATCAAGAGATAAAATACAGATCGACCCAATGTGCAGGGCAAAACCAGGAGAGAGAGAGAGAGAAAGAGAGAGAGATAGAGAGAAAGAAGAGACAGAGAGAGAGAGAGAGCGAAAGA